GGGTTGACAGGTTGTGTGGTTGTTAACCAATGTCATAAAACAATATGTGTACTACTGTTTCATGAGAATCTATTTGTTCTGTAAACCTTCACCTGAAGTACAATAAAAAAAAAGGGTGGGGGAAAAAAAACAAAACATGGTTGATACAATTAAAGAGCTACTAGACCTTCTAGCCCTATGACCCTCAATTTAAATCATTCCAGCCCAAACCTGGTGTTCTAAACTACTGTCCACACTGACACCTTGATTTTTCTGCTTTGAACCACAGTATACTTGAGATTCTAACGTGCCATAAGGCTTGACTCCTTACCTTGAAATATCCATGTAGGACAGATAATTTGGAACTGGGTAAACATCAAGTTGAACAAGTTCTAAGAAGGGGGAAAAAGTACACAAAAACATTACTATTCAAGTGACAGAGAGACTGTATGTTGAATATCATTACTATGTTTTATTCCCCATTGTTTGTTTAGTTTAGGAAGCATAATAGATCCATTTGTTCAACTTTGAAACTATGGGAAAGTAAAGAGAACATCTAATTTAATCACAAAATCTTACTGAGATTGAAATAAATCACTCATTCTACTTTCCTACCTCTTTCCCATCCACTGTGGCTCTCTTCTTGTTATATATGCTAAATTATATCTGGAAGATGAACCAAATGTACACTGTCTTTTTAATATTCAGGGTTCCTTCCGTAAAACCAAATGTATCTTGGCTTTTTGGCCTTCTTCATTGTACTGAAACAGCATTCCTGAGGGTCACAAATGACTTCTAATTCAAATCTGATAACCCTTTCTTCCAACCTTTCTATATGAAATGTGACACCACTGTCCACCAGGGGCTGTGTTTCTACGACAGGTAGTTTCTACATGTCCATCTGCCTCTCTAAACTCTTAAAAAGTAATTCACAAGTTCAGCTACCTCTTTTTCCTCCTAGCTGATCTGGTTGCCCACGTGGCCCCAGCCAACTCTGTGGGCTGTACGTCCACTTTTAGTACTAGCTCTGCTTTCCTTTCCCTCAAATCAATATCTACATCTGTTCTACTGACTCTTCTTAAAATGTTTTTCATGACTGTTTTTCCCATTCCATTCTCACACGCCACCATACTGCAAGTCCTCGTCAGCTCACACTTCAGACCTTCACAATAACTTGGATTCTCAGAGTAGTAGATTATCCCACTCTCCTCCCATAAGTATATTCTGCAACGGCTTTCACAGTAACAAGCCGTAAAATACCACTTCCAGTACACGTCTCCCCTGCTTAAGAATCTCCAGTGGCTTTTTATACTTTCTGGTAGCAAGTTTAATGCTTCTTCATCTGATACCAACCATGCATCCTATAATCACTTCCTGCTACTTTCCAGCAGGCACCTATTAGTTCAGAAGTGCCTGTCTTCTCCCATCTGCCCAACAATCCACATTCTGATTCTTTCCTCTTTCTCCTATTTCAAAATACCCACTTCACGCCTCCTGGCTATCCTATCAACCCCAAGGGCTTAGCCCAACTGGTTATACTATAGGAGCTGTAGTTATTTGATGTTTGGCTAGCTTCTCCAATGAGATGACAGTAAGCACAGTAAGGAAAAAAAAAAAAAATCCCTTGTCGTTTACAGCTCAAGCTCTGTTCTATACATACAATTGCTTGATAAACATTTGTTGGACTTATATATACTTGTTTTCTTTCATTTCTCTAATTGTAGGGAATTGAAATCTTCTCCTTAACAAACATATGTCCATATGATTTGTTCTTTTTTGGAATGACCATAGTTTTTAAATACTGAGGAAGAGATATTAAAGGAGTCAGACTCTTGCTTTATAGTATCCTTGTGGGTATACAATTTAGGTTTATCTTAGGGTAAGTTTCTTTTGTTAGTGCAGCATGAAACTTGAGATCCTGAATAGAGTCCAAAATGGACCTTCCTTGGACTCTACAAATCAATGTTTAAATCAAGATTCCAGATTTATTACGCCAACAAAGTAGCTCAAAAAACAGTTCATGTTTTCCTCTCCCTTTAAGCACAAGAGCCAAATCAAAAGAGGGAGTAACTTGTCTGAGCATCACATTATAGGAAAAAAACAAGTTAGGAACAATAGAAGAGCCAGTTTCGTTTCTGATTTGATTCCCTTAAATACCAAACCAGCATTCTCCTTTTATGACTTTTATCTTAGCAAAATTTGACACTTATTTTACTAAAATAAGGAAAGGAAAAGCAAAGAAAGGCAGAATGATGGCGCTGGGTAAATTCTTGGAACCAAAATAGAAGCTCTGATGTGGTCTATGTTACGTACCATTAGAAGAGGCATACAGTGCTTTTAGGAAATAGCCACAAATGCGCAATGTTACCAGTTGATTCCTTTCACAGTGCAGAACTTCAATGTTGTTGAAAATCATAGCATCTAGATCACCCAGTTTATTGTCACGCAGGTCAAGCTGAGTGACATGCTGCAGGAAGTCCACTTCATCTGCTATTAACTTCCTAATTATGTTTAATCTTGAGGGGAAAAAGACACAAATAGAGATTGTAATTAACTGCAATGCTATAAATAGGCAGCCACACCCTAAAATGGTGGGGTAATGACAAAGGGTTTATAGTTCTCTGTAATTTCTTTATCTTAGCATCTGTCCAGATTCTCTGGCAATTTTTAGCTTCAACTCCACGAGATCTTATCTGAAACAAAATTCAGACGTCTATGGCTGGAAAAGGAGCAAGCACACTGAATTCACCTTAATTCATTTCAAGAGGAAAAACATCAACTTAAGCATTTATTTCCAAATAAATTGGTTGAGAAACTACTGATACTATACTGGAAAGAACATAAGAAACAAAACCCAGAACAACCCATTGAGCACACTACAACCATAAAACCTAATATTTACAGAAGGAGGGGAGATGGGTGAGCAGGTGGATGAGCAGTCATACAGAGGACAGGATTAAAAGCTCAACTTGAAAAAAATGAATGAATGGGGCTCACATATGCAACAGAGGCAGGAATGCAAGAACACGGTTCTCAACTGCTCAGGACCAAGGACTGGTTACCAAAGCTAGCCCCATCTTTAAACACTGCTTGAAAAAGCAAAGTGCAACAAATGCTAAAGTTTGGCATCTAAGATTCACTGAGAAATCATAAAATGAGGGACAACAATGGGTAAAGCAAGACAAAGGGAAAAACTGGAAGAATACCTAGCCATTATACAGTGAAACCTGTGACAGCCAGAACTCAACGGGACTGCCTTGTTTTTCCAGGTCTCGCAAGTTTTCCGCCTTTGACAGGGTGCAGTCTTACTACTTTTCTATTGCTCTCTATTAGTGGAAAATATTTGCGTTTTCCTTCTCTGACAGGTTTCCACCTTACACAGGTTCCGGCTTTAGCAGATTTTACTGTAATTAGTTAGCTAACTGACCAAAGCTGCTGCGGATGAGCTGCCAGAGGGTAAGGAAGTAGCAACGGGGACTGAACCAATATAACAAAGATCACTTAGCTTCAAAGCGAAGAAAAATAGACCATCTCAATTCCCAATTTGCTAGGCTATGCCCAAGTCCTTTAAAAACCACCACCACCAGCAAGTGCTAAGATCATGTACTTAGTTAGAAAAGCATTGATATTAAAGCTAGAGTTTTAGGGAAAAAAAGGCCAAAAGTTCTCTGTAGTAAATTTCTGCTCTTTAAAAACTAAAATTATGGAACATGAATTATTAATAGAAATATCATAAACCATTAAAACACAAGGGTGAGTGACAGCAAAGAGCCAGGATTCGTCAACATGCAAGTACAGCATATGGCCTCTTCAAATGTCCCCAAGAGGATTTTTTTGGGCTCCTTTTCTTTTTCTTCCGGGTTGTAAGATTAAAAAACTGGCCGTAACCCAACAATTTGCCGACTTCCAAATGCTCACCAGATTACTCGAATTTGTTCACAGAATTAGGAAGAACAAAATCTCATTTTACATACAAGACTACATGAATTGAAAAAATGCCCCATGTCCTCCCCAATCTACATTTAAATAACCTTAATAATGTTGCATTATTATCTTTATTTGAAAGAGCCCCCCCTCAGTTTCATTATATTAACAGTAAAATAACAAAAGAGTTGGTTTAATGAGACAAAAAAAAAATTATATTGAAAGGAAAGTTAACATTACCGCCGTTTAGCTTAAACTGCCAAGTCTCACCATGATTCAAGTAGCAAGGTTTTAAGCTTACACAATAAGACAATGATTTAGGATTAACTTTTTTAAGAGGCAAAATGTGATTACAATTCCCTTCCAACCAATAATGCCCTCAGTTAATACAGCCACTTTATTTACTTCATAAATATTTATTGAGCATTTACTATGTGTAGAGAGGCAGTGTGAAAGAGCATTATGTTCTAGTCCCAGTCTGCTGCTCAACACTTTGCACGTATGACCTTGAGCAAGTCACGTAACATCTCTGCAAATCTAATTCTAATCTGTAAAATGAGGATAACACCTTTCTTATCCTACAGTGCAGTGTAGAAGAAATGAATAATATATGCACTGGTACTTTCTTCCAAATCTGTCTTGGAGGAAGTATAGCCAGAATGCTCCTTGGAAGAGAGGATGGCGAGACTTCATCTCACTTTGGACATGTTATCAGGAGGGACCAACTCCTGGAGAAGGACATCATGCTTGAGAAAGTAGAGGGTCGGCAAAAAAGAGGAAGACCCTCAATGAGATGAACTGACACAGTGGCCGCAATGATGGGCTCAAACATAGCAACGACCATGAGGATGGTGCAGGACCAGGCAATGTTTCCTTCTGTTGTAGACAGGGTCACTATGAGTCAGAACCAAACTAACAACAACAACTGGTACTTTGTAAACTGTGAAGGGCTATGATGATAACGATGATGACCTGTCTTTGTGGGGACAGAGATGAATAAAACACGGTGTTTGTCAACAGGCTTTGTAATTTAGTGAGGGAAATCAGATGTGCTTTAAAAAGTAAAGTATAATGACAAATATGTGGTAAGTGTCATAAATGAAAGAACGGGGAATGGTGCAACAAGGTGCTACGGAAGAGGAAACACCTCATATGAATCCCAGAGGCCGGTGGAATTTGACAGATGTACATGGAGAAGACAAGCACTGCCTGTGGAAGCAGCAGGAAGATCTTAGGACTGAAGAGAAAAGCACCAGGCGTGCTCCATGCATGAGTACACAGTTCCTCAAAGCACAGGCTATGTGAAAGCAGTGAGATTCTGGGAATAGAGGTGGGTTTGGTTACTCAATCAATAAATATTTATCAAGTATTATACCCACTAAGTGCCAACACTGGAGACTCAAAGATGAATAAAAACAGTGCTTCTCAAGTTATCTATGGTGAAGGACCTACTTTCTAAATTTCTAATCCATCACAGACTGGTGTATAGTCCTACTGCACATGACTGGTACATAGCTCATACCACATGTGACGCACCATGAAGTTAACAACACCTAGAACTAGTCTATTCCCTGTTCAATAAGATGAGTCCACCTATAAAGCACTTGGGAATTGTGGCAATGTCGAACTGCTATACATTTCTAAAAGATTCATCTTGATTTCTGTACATAGCTCATGTGGAAAGTAGCAAACAGTTGGCTTGCTAGCACAAGTTGGTGAACCACACTGTGATCAGCTCAGAGACACAGCCTCATCCTCCAGAGGATTACAGGCTAGTGGGCTAAAACCAGATAGGAGGCGTGAATGCTAGAAACTAGACAACTGAAGGCTCTGAGCAGGACTTCACTTGCCTGCAAGGGTTGCACAATGGACGCAGACCACTCAGCTAGAAAACAATGTTAGCAGTGGGAAGGAAAAAGAAGGGATGAATGAGAGAAGTTAACATAGAGGAAGAACTGACAGAATCTGGTGCTGGAATAGAAGGAGAGGTAGGATTAGACGAGGTGTAAGAAGGACAATGCCAAAAGTTCTGTATCTGCTCAGCCAATGAAGTGGCGTTGCTATCAGCAAAAACAGGAATGCAAAGAAAGAACTGGTGGATTAAAGAAAGAAACTGGACTCTGCTTCACATGTATTTGGTTACGTACGCCGAAGTGGAAACCAAGGTGACATTATTCAGTTGGCAGCTGAGGTGAAATCAGCCCCAAGAAAAGAAGTAAGGGTTAGAGGAAGACTGGGAAATAATAAATATAGGGATGAAAGGGGAAAGATGAAGCTGTAAGAGTATGTGCAGCCACCAAGGCAGAAAACGAAGAGAAAAGAAATACTCAAGGAGAGATACGTGGGTAACATGCAATAGGAGAAACAGTTTCAGAGTCAAAGCACATGAATAGAAGAAACAGTAAGATTAAGAGAAAAATGATCGCTTTTAATCTGGTGCAACATTTCCACCTGAAGGAATAAAAACTCAAATAATCAATAAAATTAGTCCTTTGTTTAGAGAAACCAAGTGAAACTTCCCTTATTCTACTTGCTTCAATTTAATAATATTAAGTCAGAATTATAGGCACATCTGACCAGATTTTTCTTTCCTTGGCTCAGGGGCCTAGAGGGAAGCAGTTAGCTACTCAGTCATTCAACATTTATAACAGAGGGTTCAGTGTCTCTTCTGGTATTTAAATCTCCTGTAACTGATGTCATCTCAAAAGATTTGGATGAGAACTAGAAACCTGAAGAGGCTGTGAAGCACTTAATAAGAACAGTTACTTCTGGACATACTAGATGGATCTTATACATAGCTATGTATTTGCAGGTGGAGGTGCTAGCCAGATCATGAAAAATGTCTTCTTATATGTACCAGTAACTCAGAAATCATTTCATGATTACTACCTGAGGTCAATGCAACCCATGGTCCTTGGCTCTTTCAAAGTTATACCACTGGGTGGCCAAATTAAAAAGAACCTAAATTCTCAAACATAAGAGATTTTCCTAAATCCAAGTGTCTCTGAGGCAAATAATGTTAACAAATTAGAAAGAAACTTAATAGGACATTTTTCAGCTCTAAAAAGTTCTCAAAGTCCAATAAATTATAACCATTTATATTCCTCAAATTAAGAATTCAAGATCTGCAAATTGCTAACACTTCCCTGGGGAGGGACAGGCCTGATTCTTTTTGTTGGAGGTAAGGTAAAGCCAAGCAATTTTTGTGAGACTGGGATATATGGGTTTCCTAGGCCAAATCATATGAATGGAGAACAAATAGGACCAAATGGTGATGCTACTTTATATTAATGCAACCGGCTAAGCCTGAGTGAGGGCCTGGGATTATCAACAGAGAGGAAAGTGGTGGTGAAACATGGAAAGAACCACAACTGACAAACAGGTGTAGAGATGCCAAGAAAAGCAGTTGAGCAGATTCCATGAGTAGAGAAAAGTTCTCAGCTGGTACTAACAACAGTACATAACCCCTGTTGGGAGTGCCAGGCATTTAACTCAATTCTCTCCACAACCCTATGAATTAGGTTCTGTGACTAACCTTAATTTACAGGTGGAAAAAACAGAGGGACAAGGAGATTAAACACCTTGCCCAAGATTTAACATGTTTAGTATGTGGTTATCAACCCCTGGCTAATGGGGAGTTAGTTTGGTTGAGAAAGTGTGAAATTGAGCACGCTAGTGTTAAAGCCTACGCCCTAAGGCCTATAAGTTGCTTTGCAGGAACTCAAGCCCATGACAGGCTATTTCTCCTTAAAAAATAGAAATTCAGAACCTCTCCCTCTCCTTGTGTACTGGTTTTCTGTGCATTAGCAACTAAAATGGAACCTCACTTACTAGGGGATGATTACTGAGCATCTCTTGTGTAGCAACAACTGTGCTAGTGCTCTCCAGTGGAGTGTAGTCCGATCAAGATTCAGAACGCAGGGTCCCTGCTCTTGGAAGAGATTAGAGCGGAGGTTACAGCTAAACTTGGTCTAACGGCAGATTATGGGTTTTATTCTTTTGTAAAGAATAGTGAAATAAGGGCAGAGCCGCTTAGAGAGACAGAGGAAGTTAGAAAAAGTAAGTTAAATAAATAAATTTAATGATGCATTAAGTTAAAAAATCAAGGAAGAAAAAAAAATTAAGAAAGGGGAAATGCTCAATAATGTCAAATGCCTCAAATGAACCACAGAAAAGAAGGTCCAAGAGAGAAAAATAACCACTTTCCTCTCAATTATACGGTTTTATTATAAATAGTTCTCTCTGACTCTCTGACCCTATCTATTCATGCAAATTAAATCTGGGCTCAAATTTACAAAACAAAGTAAAGCCTTCAAGAGATACGTTTCAGATATGAGCAAACCCTACTATCAATTACTCTTTCCTCTGGGAAGAGATAGGAAAATAGATCCTAGTTTCAACTAACCAGTCTGCTTGTCCTGGCTCTGGCTTGATAGGATTATAACCTATCCCTAATTATAAGCAAACCAAACAAATGGGATATATTTCTCAAAAATGGTTACCTTAGATCCACATGTTTAATGTGAGGCATTTTTCTTAAAGCCTGTAGCCTCAGAGTCTCCATACAGTTTCCAGACATACAAAGTTTATCCACAGCAGTCAATTTCTCCAATACCTCTGGAATGTCAGTGAATTCATTGAAAGAAAGACCAAGATAACTAAGCTGGTGCATGTTCTCCAACTCAGCAGGAAGTGACTGGAGAAAATTTCCATCCAACAAAAATGTCTGTAAACTATTAAAAGAAAACATAAGAATTAGAGAAATGTGCAAATTTTACACCTTTATTACCAACACTTAAGTACAATAAACGTAAATCATAGAAAATGTACTGTGCCTTGCAAAATGCATAAGGGAAGAGCCTGGGGCAATAATGGTCCAGAGAGACAAGATCACAGATGAGCATCTTAATCTTTTATTGAAAACGAAAATTATGACCCAACTTGGACAGGCATAAATGGGAACAACGTGAGCCAACCGCAGTGTGAACCAGGTCCAAATACCCGTCTTCCCTGGTTATGTTTTAAAATTAATTTCTAAGTCTTAGAGTTTAACACAACTCAGAAAATGAGAAAGCAACCTCTCTCTCCCTCCCTTCTATGTTTAGACCTGCAAGTCCATAGGGACCTTCAGTTCTAAACAGGGATTTTACTTTTTCATAAGATTCCAGAGTCTATGGAGCCCTGGTGGCGCAGTGGTTAAGAGCCTGGCCGCTAACCAAAAGGTCAGCTGTTCAAATCCATCAGCCAGTCCTTGGAAACCCTATGGGGCAGTTCTATTCTGTCCCACAGGGTCACTATGAATCAGAATCGACTCAACGGCAACGAGTTAGGGTTTTTTTTGTTTGTTTGTTTGTTTTATACAGATTAGACAGTGCCGATCTCTTGATCTGAGCAAAAGCTAAGACTTACATAACCAGTGTAGCAAGGAAAGTCCTATGTGCTGCAACCCCAAAGCAGAGGGATCACTTAGCAAGCATTCCTGGTACCAACAAGGGCTACTCCACAGAGGTATAAAGTACGCACTTGTGCATGACTCTGACGGCGGCTGGAACTGCTCTCAAGGCGTTGCAGGACACATTCAGCTCTGTCAGGGTTGGAATATTGCACACTGCTAACGGGAAGTCTCCTAGATGATTATTGGAAAGGTTAAGACTCTTCAACTTGCTGAACCTATTACAATAAAACAACACAAAAGAAAAAAAAAAAAATAAATGTCATGGATGCATAAAACACCACATAATTTTAGCCTAGCCTCAGAGATAATCCAGCCAGACCCGAGTCTAACCGAGGGGAGACGCAGCCCTCAGAGGCTCAGGGAGCAGCAGAGCTGGAAGGCACAATTTCTGACTCTAAGGCCAGTGTTTTACCTAAAGTGTAAACATTATATTAAAAACAAACTTGTCATCCTGAAAAAGGCTAAATATTTGAGGAGATGAGTATTGCTGCAGTATGCTTCTCAGCTTTCCCTCGGTTTAATTAACACACTTGTAAAGGATGACGGAGAGGTAGGAAAGAAAGAGTACGCAGAGTTGGGAATCTAGCTCTTCTGGATTTCTGTGTGATCCCAGATAAGCCAAAAACTTTTCTGCCTCACTTCTCTCAAATCCGAGAAGCCCTGGTGGCACAGTGGTTAAACGCTTGGCTGCTAACCAAAAGGTCCAGGGTTCAAACTCACCAGCCACTCCTTGGGAGAAAGATGTGGTAGTCTACTTCCGTAAAGATTACAGCCTTAGAAACCTTGTGGGGCAGTTCTACCCTGTCCTATAGGGTCACTATGCGTTGGAATTGATTCGATGGCAATAGGGTAGACATTATCTAACATATTACACAGACTTTTTAGAAAGTAGAGAGGGGACTATTTCAGTTTCAGTAATTACTCAAGATGGAAAATAGAAGCATCAGCTTTTGGAAAAATAAGAGAGAAAGAAAAAAAAGGAGGCAGATATAATTCATCTATGCAAACAAATTTACTAGGATACCACCACCCCTGAGAATGAAGGAAAACAGTAATGAGTTAAATGAGTAAAATGCAGTTGACAAACTTAAATAGAAGAGGGAAAAAGCTCTTAACAAGTACTTCCCCTGTTAGTTTTATGTTTTTGTTTTCTGTATTCTAAAATGATCACCAGCTCTTTAGAGAAAGAGGTACAATTATTCTCTGCATCAACTCAATGACAAAACCACTACCAGACCTTATGGTAAAGAGAACTGCCCTCAGTCCTAGGGGCTGAGCACCCCTCCCTGTAGAGCCAGGCGTCTGCACCCCCTTCTCCTAGAGCTGCCCTGGCCAATCCAGCAACCACTAGCCACAGATGTCTACTGAGCACCTACAAAGTAGCTGGTCCCAATTTAGATGTTCACTACGTATAAAGAACATACTGACTTCAAAGACTTAGTACAAAAAAAGAATGTAAACTACCTCATTAATATTTTTAGAACTGATAATAATTTTGGTATATTGGTTTAAATAACTCTCTCAACCCCATCAGAAGTCTCCTACCAGCACATCCTGTTGTTAAAATTAATTTCACCTGTTTCTTTTTACTTTTTCTAATGTAGTTCCATATGAAGAGTAAGTTGTTGTTAGTTGCCATTGAGTCAATTCTGACTCGTGGTGACCCCACGTGTGTCAGAGGAGACCTGCCCCTTCAAGGCTGTGACGTTTCAGAAGCAGATCACCAGGCCTATCTTCCGAGGTGCCTCTGGGTAAGTTCGAACCACCAATCTTTCAGCTAGTAATTAAGCGCTTAACCATCTGCACCACCAGGGGTATGTTAAAGTACTCATCGCCGTCAAGTCGATTCCGACTCACAGCGACCCTATAGGACAGAGTAGAACTCCCCATAGGATTTCTAAGGCTATAATCTGTACGACAGCACACAACAACAACCTTTATGGAAGCAGGCTGTCACACCTTTCTCCCTCGGAGTGGTTGGTGGGTTCGAACTGCCGACCTTTCAGTTACCAGCTGGGCACTTTAACCACTGTACCACCAGGGCTCCTTGCTAAAGTAACCAGGACTCTATAATTCCCTACCCAAAGGATACCAAGCCTGTTTCCAGGGCTCGTGTGGGCCTGTTCCCTAGGTCCATCCTCCCATAGGTGTGTATACCTATACCCTAGGGGTGGATAGAGCTGGGCTGCATGGGCTGGGGTGTCCAGACCATGCATGGTGAGGAATGGAGCTTGGGATGGGAAGAGATGTGGGCCACTAGGCCAGCTTGTCTCGTGCTGCCACATTCAGTGTGGAATCCCAAGGAGTCTAAGGATTCTAATTTGCCTTCCAGTCATTATAAAGCATTACTTGTCAAGGTAGGTAGAACCTAATTTATTTAACAGTTGGTTAGTTTAACTTAACTATTTAGATATTGGTATGTGGGACTCCATTTATATTCTTGCCCCAGTCTTGTAAATTTTAAGGACTGATTCTGATCTGATGTACCCTAAATGTCTAGTTCCTTCTCACACACTCCCCATCTCCCTTGCATTCCTCCCTGTGCAGCCCATGCCCCAAATTCTTCCCAGAGAACACAGTGTTCAGCACAGACTTGTTTAGCAAGCAAAGCACAGATTGTTTCTGAGAACCCAAACTCTTGATCAGAATACATCTACCAACATTAATACTCATGATGTTTTGTAAACTCTAGCCCTCCACTTCTTAGAGTTCTATTTTTTTCTTTATAGATGTGGAAAGCAGTCAGGTTACAGGCACTGGGGAACAGAATTTTACAGATTCAAAAAGCCTTTCAGAGAAAGATAGTGGGAAAGTCCACATAGAATCCACTTCCCTCTGTGCTTTAAAATGGGTGAAACAGATACACAGAGGCAATGTTTAAGAGGTAAGAGATCCAAATGGTGGGCAGATGACCTTTCTTCCCTTTAACTTCCTTTAAAAGAGAATGCAGAGGAGAAAGCAAGGTGACAGCACACCATTATTCAAGATAAGACTAGACATCCCTATGTCTCCGTAACAAAATATAAGACTTTTAGCTCTGCCATGTTAGTAGGTGAGCTAGATAAATTTTCAAATGGGCACAGACCTGGATTCTAATGCAAAACTAGCTGGCTATGAATATATATATATATACAATATTCTTATATATATATATACACACACACACATTTGGTGAAATATTTTATTTTAAAATATTTTGAATATTTTATTTTAAACTAATATTACAGTTCTGCCCTTATATTCACTCAGGATATAGATATTTCCTCACAGTTGTTCAAACAGGTAAGTAGAAGAGAATCACTGCATCACAAAAATTAAGATTAGTAAAAAACATTTTAATGATGACTATAATAACTATAGTTGTCAGTTTAGCAATAACAAAGGACGATTCTATCTGATGCTTCAGAAGCTAAAAGGAGAAGAAAGGCTTGTGGTATGTTTTATTAAAACACCTCATTACACACAAATGCACACACACAATGCCAAGGTTAAAGGACATTACTTAAAGTGGACACACCATCCTTATTTCTCAGGGTTATCAAAAACCAAGAGTAGAAGAGGTCTTTGAAGGAATCTTCTTTAATTTCCCAAGCTTATAATAAACCAGGCTCAGACAAATATGACTTTTGTATGTAACTATGAATCTACTGCCTTTCAACATCATTATTACTCCTCTCTCCTCCTATTTTGTTTATCTTATTAAAGAATTTAATATAAATAGATATCTATACCTATTATGATTACTGGGCTTATTTGAAATAATTCTAAGCCACAGGTGAAAAAAACGGCCTCAGAGTAGAGTATGGGAAGCACTGCCTTTTCACCTCCTTTTACCCTGCTGAGGGTGGCATTACCAGCAGTGAAGGACAATGAAATTTCAACATGATGTACATGTAAACTCAAGCCAATTCAAGTCCAGCCCAGTGCTCCCAAACTACCCAACAACTTGAAAAGATTTACAGTCACCCTTCCGTATCTGTGGGTTCCGCATTCAACCAACCGCGGATCGAAATGATTTGAAAAAAAAAAAACATTTTTTTCCAGAAAGTTGCAAAAAGCAAAACTTGAATATGCTGCATACTTAGCACTACAATGAATTCACGTGAATGAAGTGATGTGTAGGCATCCTCTGCTGTAGCCTCCCGCTGTTTCACAAATCCTCAGTCTCTCTCCAGCACTCACTGTTGGAGCATTGTTCGCCTTTTGTCTTGTTCATTCACTACTTGTGTTGTGTGCACTCTTTGTTTCTATGAAAAAATGGCTCCCAAAAAGCAATGAAGTGGTCAAAGCAATCCCTCAAAGGCTAAGTGTGAGGGGGTTGAGGAAAGCGAGAGGAAGGAGGAGTTTCAGGCTAGTAAGGGATGGCTGGCTAGCTCTGTAAAGCGCTACAGCCTCAAGAACTTCCAGATCGCCAGAGAATCGGCATCGGCTGATGCCCAGGCAGCATCTGCGTTTCCAGAAGAGCTCAAGAAACTCAAAGAAGAAAAAGGCTACCTTCCAGAGCAAGTCTCAATTGCAAGGCAACAACTATTTACATAACATTTACACTGAATTAGGTATTAGAAGCAATCTAGAGATGATTTAAAGTATATGGGAGGATGTGGGTAGGTTATATAAGGGACTTGAGTATCCATGGATTTTGGTATCTGCAGGGCATCTTGGAACCAATCTTCACTTGGATACTGAGGGACGACAGTACTTCACTTTCCAGACCAAGCAACGTACTTTAGGAAAGAAATATAAATCATGTCCATTTTTCCTACAACAGGACTCAGAGTAGGGAAAAGAAGCAAGTTAACATTTACCCAGAGCCTAATAAAGAGAAATCTCCTTTAATCCTTAAAATGAAGGCACATGGTACAGTACTGCCACTGCCACTTTATACTTGAGACAGTAGATGACACACTCATGGTTACACATGTAGCAAACGGCAATGGGCTTTGTGGGAGTTCAGAACCTGGGTCTCCCTCCAAAGCTCCAAGATACACTTTTGTTTTTAATCCCAAGTAACAGAAAAGCACAATGAACTACATACACGTGGTAACTCATCAAGACAGAAAACTATAATTGTATTGTATTTACACATAAACCTTGAAGTCCCTTTCAAACTAGGTTTCCTAACAGCCACATAACTATAGGTGGCTTCCCTCAGAGTGACAGAAGGTCACAAGTAGGGAGAGGGAAAAGACAACAGAATGGAGCTGATAATATCACT